GACTAGACCTACCCGGAGTTCATTACCTTTGTAATTTGTGAGTTCATTACCTTTGTAAATTGTGAATTCATTACCTCTGTAACTTGCTCAGCTATCAAAACTTTGGAGTCCAGTCCCTGGACCAATTATGTACTCTGTAATCTTTTGACTACCGCCCACAGGATGGGTATGGGGTGCATAATAAACATATTAAACTAACTAAAAAACTGCCGGTGAGGGATTGTTCTTTGGCTGGAGATAAGGATATATTTAGGGAAGGCGATAGCTTGCATATTAATATCAACTTGGAAAAGAATATTCCACTCGTAAAGACAGCCTTGTGATCAGATTACCTTTTCGTTAGATTACTTACTAATGAGCTGAATGAGGCGCCAGAGATATGAGTAGGGACTTCTAAAAAGTTCCTTCATATCAAGCTGCAAGATTTTCATCAAAATGCCTCAGCATAAGATGTGGCTGAAGTTACCAACAATTATAATACGTTGACATTATGCAGTAGAAAGAAGTCTACCTCTAGTATCAAGAAACTGGGTCCTCTCGCTGCCACTGAGGTACGAATACAGCACACACCAGTACGGAGGCAGAGTTTATGCTTGGCCAGAAGAACATTTCCAAGTGATTAGAAATCCCATCATCAGTGGGATGGGAATGTATACTTTTACTGAAGCATAGAGTAATACTACTACCATGACTGCTTGTCTTGTCGCGCTCATGAGATGCAGCCAGCAATTTTAGCAAAATTCTCCGGAAATCTGTCGTCCAAAAAAATTAACCAACGGTGATCATGTCAGAACGCTGTGTCCATTAACCTTTGGTAATGAAGCCTATAATGTTGATGGGCAGGATGCTGATATATTGGCTCGTATTTGTGTACAGTGACTAAATAAGAATGTAAGGTTGCTTTTGAGACAGGCGTCTTACTGGAGCATCCACCTGCTGAGCTAATATGTGAGAGTGATCAGCATATCTAAGATTTTATTGATCTGTTCAGAAATTACATTTCTAAAAAGCCGGTGACATTGTCTGCGCAGTTTCTTTTTATTTTTACATCGATCATCTTGGTGTCCTCTCTTATGGCAGTAATCATACAATATGTACTGCGGACAGTTTTTCAGTGGTGTAACTTATTCGGTGACAGAGAGCATTGCTTAGGAGCCTGGGAAGTGCAGTGTCCTGTTAGCGTTACCTATTGTGTTTCATTGCTGATTTGGTAAATAATTAAGTATCCATGAAGGGGACCGTTAAAATGGTTGCCAAAATTTAGTTCCTTTGCTTTTTCTTCCTCCTACTTTTGATTTGTTTTACTCATTACGAGAGCTTAAAATATTAGGGTCAAATTCTCAGTGCTGGTATACGGTAACTAAACCAAAATTCTAGGAAGAAAACTGGCATGTGTAGGTACCCTATAACCAGTATCCTGGTTGTAGGGTACCTGGTTATCTGAGCCATTATCAGTATTCTGGAATGGCTCAGATAACTTCCAAAATCCTCTGCGAAGTAACTTGAAATGTTTCAAAAGTGTCTCCTAGTTCAACGATGGTGGAGGAGAAAAATCAAGTGTGTAGATACACTCTACCAATTTTACGAATACAAATATGAAACCTACAATTCTTTATCAATCTCTGCCTGCCTACTCTGGTTTGTCCTACCCTACCTGCTCTAGCCTGTCTTGTCCTGCCCTGCTTGCTCTGGTCTGTCCTGTCTTGTCCTGCCTGTTCTAGTCTGTTGTTCTGCCCTGCCTGCTCTGGCCTGTCCTGTCTGCTCTGGTGTCTGTTCCGCTCAGCCAGCTCTGGCCCTGTCTACTCTGGCCTATCCAGTCCTGACCTGCCTATTCAGGCCTGTGCTGTCCTGCCTGGCGCTAGACTTCCTGGCCCTGCCTGGTCTAGACTGCTTCCATGCCCTGCCTTGCTCTGGTTGTCCTGTCCTGCTTGATATGGCCTGTCTTCCACAACTAAGTGGCCTGTCGTGCTTGTCCTACCTTCGATGATGTAAATAGGGGTGAGTTCGAAGGAGGATAGGGCTGGGGAGGGAGGGAAGGTAGAAGCATCAAGGGTATGGTGGAACTGGAGGAAGTACCAATGCAATGATCAACCCTTCTAGTACAGCATGAACATGCCATTATTGCCATGCAGTTTAATATCTTTATTATGCACCCCATACCCAACCTGTGGGCGGTAGTCAAAATATAATAGAGGCACAGAATAAGTCCAGCAAGTGGGCCGTAATGAACTATTTACATGTTTGTATCTGGTCATAATAGTCATGTGTTATTTATGGAGACATGCATTAGATCCCAAACACACACACACACACACAAAATGGTAATCCATTATTTACAGTAAGCAAAGTCATGGTATTTTTCCAGAATAGTTTGTAATATATCACTGTGGATAAAATACTTTGACATGCAAGCAGTGGAAGACTGAGACAAGATTGTAAATATTAAGTCAATAATTCTTCACCACTCTCCGCCTGCCTACCTGCCTGCTAAGCCCTGTCCTGCCCTGCTTGCTTTGCCCTGCCCGTTCTTGCCTTGCCTGTCCTGCCCTGCTCTGCCTACCTGGGTGTTCCGGGGGTCAACGCCCCGTGGCCCGATCCATGACCAGGCCTCGTGGTGGATCAGGGACTGATCAACCAGACTGTTACTGCTGGCCGGCTGTAAACTAACGTACGAATAACAGCCCAGCTGGTCAGGTACTGCATTTAGTTGCCTGTCCAGTTCCCTATTGAAAACAGCAAGGCGTCAATTGGTAATTCCCCTTATGTATGCTGGGAGGCAGTTGAACGGTCTTGGGTCCCCTGACACTTATTGTGTTGTCTCAGTGTACTTATGATACCCCTGCTTTTCAGTGGGGGAAATATGTTGCACCACTTGCCGAATCTTTTTGCCTTCGTAGGGAGTGAATTCCGTGTATAGATTTGGGACTAGCTCCTCTAGAATTTTCCAAGTGTATATTAACATGTATCTTTTTTCGCCTGCATTATAAGGAGTGTAGGTCAAGGGACTTCAACCATACCCAGTAATTTAGGTGCTTTATTCTGATATGTACAGTGAAAGTTCTCTGTACATTCTCCAGGTCTGAAATTTTGCCTGCCTTGAAAGTAGACGTAAATGTACAGCAATACTCCATCCTAGATAGAGAAAGCAATTCGAAAAGAATCATCATTGGCTTGGCATCCCTAGTGTTGAAGGTTCTTATTATCCATCCTATCATTTTCCTATCATATATGGTTGAGACATTTTTGTATTTTTTTTTATATTATAATCATGGGGGAGCGCTAAACCCATAGGATTATACAGCGCATGCGGGGAAGGGGGGATGGAAGGTATTCAGGCTCAATTCAGAGAACTGGAGCACAATCCAATTCCCTAGATCAAGAGCCCCTCCCCAACATCAAAGAACCTCCCTTGAGGGGTGTGATTTTTTTTAAAGTGAGATTCTCTGGCATTATCACTACCAGGTCCTTCACATTAGTTATTCACTCTATTGTGTGGTTTTATTTCCTCGAGTTTTCTATATCAGAGTATTGAAATTTGTCCTCATTAAACTTATTACTTATTATTATTATTATTATAATCAAAGAAAGCACTAAACTGACAAGTCTCATTGAACTTCATATGTATTGTTTTCTGAGGCCCCTTTGAAGAATTGGTTAATGTCTGCTTGGAGATTTGCATTGTCCTCAATGATGACACTGTCATGCAAATTCTGGTATCATCAGCAGAGGACATAGTACTGCCGCTTACATCTCTGTCTGTCTGAAATGAGGATCAGGAAAAGGATGGGAGCGAGTCTGTTCTTTGTGGAACAGAGCTTTTCCATATAGCTGCCTTTTACCATTACTCTTTGTGTTCTATTTGCTAGGAAGTTATAGATCCATCTACTTATTTTTCCAGTTATTCCTTTATCATACATTTTGTGTGCTGTTACACCATAATTGCACTTGTCAAAGGCTTCGCAAAGTCTGTGTATACTACATCTTCATTTTGTTTGGCCTTCCATGCATCCAAAACCATACCAAAGTGGTCGAGTAGTTGTGAGAGGCAGGAGTGACCATCCATGACTGTCATAATGGTCCAGTAGTTGAGAAAGGCAGGAGCAACCATCCATGACCGTGTCATAATGGTCCAGTAGTTGAGAGAGGCAGGAGCGACCATCCAAGACCATGTAGGCATGCTGCAGTGTTCCTTCTTTCTTATGTTCTCATGTCATAGTGGTCCAGTAGTTGTGAGATGCAGGAGCAACCTGCTCGAAACACACGTTGTCCTGGGTCGTGCAATTGATGGGTATCCAAGTGATTGGCAATCTTGCTTCTTAGAACCTTTCAAAGATTTTTATGATGTGGAACGTTAATGCTATCGATCTGTAATTCTTTCCAATTGCTTTACTGTCACCTGTATGGAATGGGGCTATATCTATTGTTTTTGGGGACTGTGGGGTGACCTGTGTCTATGCTCCCTCTCCGTAGAATAGTTAAGGCATACAAATGGGATTTCTTGCATGGCCTGCCCTGCCTGCTCTGGCTTGTCCTGTCCTGTCTGCAGTGCCTAGTTGCTCTAGCCTGTCCTGCCCTACCTTGCATGCTCTGGCCTGCCCTGCTCTAACTGTTTTGGCCTGTCTTTCCCTGGCTTCTCTAGCCTGTTCTGTCTTGCCTGCTCTGGCCTATTCTGCCTTCCCTCTACCTTGCTGTGCAAGTGCCAGTCTGCCCTGCCAATGCCTCTGGAGATTTCAAGTTAGTGCATGTGCTTATTTACCACTCAGAAAGCCCCAGAGTATTTAAACAACAAAAAGTATGCAAGGACAGGTTGGGAGTTCTGGCATTTTGGAACAAATTACCACAAAACCATGTATTTTGGGGTTTGAGTTACAATACTTTTGAAGTATGATACATCTGAAAAGGATTAATATCGTAACTCATGGGACCTCAGTGTTGGGTTTTTATTGGATATCAAAACATTGTAAAAATTTTGTGTTGAAAGAAGGATAGTAAAGTGCACATTGTGAAATGAAGAACATTTTATTAATATTTGTTCAGTGTATTCAAACTGTCATTTCAAAATCAAATAAAAATAGAAATTTACAAACTTGAAATATACCATATTTATTCATTAAAAATATAAATAGTATATATAGAGAAAGCCGCTGCTTTACAGCACTTCGCTTTGTGGGATTTTGCTAATGCAGCAGTTCTCAATTATACTCATTCTTCATTTATTCAGACATCCCACCATAAATATATTCACCACCCACTATAAGCTAAAGGTGAAAATATTTTAAGGTAAGTAGTGTATGTACTATATAGGCATTTTTTAGGCCTAGCTTTACTGATAGTGTAAACATGTTATCAGGCTTTTATATGCATTTGAAAGTGGAAAAAAGTCTATGTTTCACTTTACAGCGATTTTCACTACATAGCAGTAGCCCAGAATCTAACTTGCTGTAATAAGTTGGGCCCTCCTGTAAATACTTTCTTGGAGTAAGCAATAAGGCAGCAATGAGACTTAGGCTACCATCCAGATCCTTTTTTATCAAGTTCAAAATTTCTATAATAGATATTAATAGTTTTTCTGAATTTAATAATATTCTGAATAACATTTTTCAGTGTCCATTGATCTTTATGTAATGAGTGATAAAGAGTGAAGGGCCCTTGCTTGGTACGCTGCAGTTCACACACGTGAGCACAGCTTCCAACAGCTGTATGGAAGAAAATAAACATTTGACAGACAACTTTTCATTACTTAATTTCTTAATGTTCAGTGATTAAATACAATCATAAATACAGTAATTTGGTTTACAACAATGTTGTATGTACACTACTAACTCTGCACCTATTATAAGAAATGTTTTGTCACATATCCAGACATGCAAGGTAATAAAATATCCAATCACATAATCAGTTTTTTTTAACAGTAAAGTTGTTACATTGTTTTCCTTTGTGCTATTATAAAGCACAGCATTATCTTTTTTAAAATCTTTTGGAAAATTATATTAATATTTGAAATTTATGTTCTGCTACATTGTTACTGCAATGGAGTCAGATATTAATACAGAATTATCATGCTGATATACAGACTGCACTCTCAAACTTCAAAAGAATTTCTAGTAACACAGGACGAAGGGTAAAAAAAAATCACAATGTCTGATCATGTTTTCATGTGATTTGACTGCCAATTTCAGGTGGTTCGACACAGAACCAGAGTTCTTAACGTAAGTCATGTCCATTTTTAGAATTTTGGATTTTTTTATTTCCTTGGTCAAGCATGGTACTGATGATGTATTTTTGGAATGGGGCTTTGCTTTCTTTTCAAGACAATGATTTTTTGATGGGCTTCAGATCAGGAAAATTTTGTAGTTACTGAATAACACTGATATTGTTTTCTTCCAACCATTTTTTGACCTGTCATTGTCTTGGATAGTGTGTCATAAATCTTATGTAACATGATATATTGATATATGTACCTATATATTAGAATGGCTAGTTGGACATTTATTGGATAAATGTATAAATAATGTCAACCTATTCATGACTGCATATTAGAATGGCTAGTTGGACATTTATTGGACAATGACATCAATTGTTTACTTTTGAACATCAGCAAAAATCCAACACTTCCCCTACTTTGAGCTCTATTTCAAGGTTCTTTTCATAGTAAAAACCAATCAAAATTACCTCTATTTCTATAATGTGTTTTCCATTCTTTCAAATGAGACCAAGAAAATGAGAATACAACCATAAATACTATACAAAAATACACCACAAATTCGGCGCCTTAATCCAAAAACACGGTCATTTTTTTTTTCTCATTATGCACTGCGTGCTGCAGGATTTGTTTTTATATGGTACACACTGACCACAGAGACCCATTCTCTCGCATGTGGGCCTACCAGGTTTTTCCTGCTTGATTTGAAGCCGCTAGAATTTTTTAGTATATACATGTATATGTCAAACACAGTGGCTCGTAAGACGTATATATACGACCAAAACAGTCAAAGGGTTAAAATATGTCATTACTTATGTTAGGAACTGTGGCAGCGGCAGAGTTTGTTTGGAGACAGGACAAGATAGTCCTTCAATATGACACTAATATCAACTCTATGGCTTATTTATCTATCACAATTGATCTAATATAACATAATAAGCAATATTAATAACATAGAAACATGACATATACTCCAAAATGAATAAAATATGTCATTACATATGTCACCAGTGGTGTTTTGTTGCTGTTGTTGGGTGTATACGGGCCACTGAGAGCATAAGCAATACCTCCAACATCAATGGAGGAGTTAGGTTCGTGCTGTCCTTTTTCTATCGACTAATCGCTTAACTTACTTGCTACACTGTTAATGCTACACTTTATCGCTGGCTGGCGCTATAGCCTTTATCGCCTCGTGCTGCTTTAGTATTGTACATATCGTAGAATCACTGAATCACTGAAGAAGGCACATTCTCCCCTCTCTCTTCCTCCTCCACTTTGGTGCTCTACTACGAGTTCTTTCTTGATTTTAGTAGTCTTTCTCAGTAAAATCTCTTACTGAGAAAATGTTTCATCCACCAGGGATGTTATCATTTCTCACAGAAACAAGCAAACAAAGCATTTATATAGCAAAGAACGTGTGAGACAAGACGTAAAGCTAGGCAAGTAATGCCACCTGTTGTAATGTGCCCAGTTAAGTGTTATCATCAAATGCTTTACAATTAGGATGGGCCAGCAGGTCAACTGCAGTATTCCTCCACATAGTTTTATGTAAAAATGATCCTGGTGTTAGTTGCAGCAATCAAAGAAGAGCCCAAGCACAGCCTATTATGCCTGTTTGCTTCTGAGAACTAGTGTGACACTGAAGAAGTTAATTAGATGATTTTCTGTGTAGCAGTGAATAGTACAAGTGTTGTTTATATCCCTCTAGTAGATATTTCTGTGTTCATTAATCCTCATTTTTAGGTCCCTAGAGGTTTCACCGACATTAAATTTATCACACAGTATTATGAAGACGACAACAACGGTGTCAATATTTTTTTTTTCAACGAACCGGCCGAATCCCAATGAGGCAGGGTGACCTAAAAAGAAAAACCAATGTTTAAATTTAAAAGAAAAAAGAAAGTCTTTCTTTTTAAATTAGTAATTTATACAGGAGAAGGGGTTACTAGCTCTTTGCTTCTTTGCATTTTAGTTGCCTCTTACAACATGCATGGCTTAAGGAGGAAGAATTCTTTTTCACTTCCCCATGGAGAAAAGATGAAATAAAGAACAAGAAGAACTATTAAAAAAATAGAAGAAAACCCAGATGGGTGTGTAAATATATATGTGTGTACAAGCATGTGTAGTGTGACCTAAGTAGAAGTAGCAAGATATACTTGTTATGCTGCATGTTTATGAGACAGAAAAAAGACACCAGCAATCCCAACATCATGAAAAATAATTACAGGTTTCTGTTTCACACTCACTTGGCAGGACAGCAATACATCCCTGGGTGGTTGCTGTCTACCAACCTACTACCTAGGTGTCCTTAGTTATGGTTACATAATATACCATTTGGAAGTTGTGATAAGTTTTACATTTGTGAAACCTCTACGGGACCTAATGAGTACAGAAATGCCTGCTAGAGATAATACAAATGCTCGTACTTTTTTTTTTCTTCTTGAAAAAAAAAAAACATGGGGAGACAAGACAGGCAACATAGGCTGTGACTGTAATCTGCTCCAAGAGCCCCAACTGAAACCATCACTCATTCATCAGTATAATTCTTAATTTCATAAACAGAGGGCAAAAATTTATTTCTCACCAGACATGATACTGCTACTACATAAAACTATATATAGGAGCAAAGCAGTCACCTTACAATTCAATCCTAATTTTAAAGCATTTGATGATTCCACTTCTACTGAGTCAGATTACAACAGGTGACATAACCTGCCCAGCTCTACATTTCACCTCACACCGTCTCTGCTTTACACATGCCCTGTTTCTATGTCTCTGTAAGGGTTGATAAAGCCCTTGAAAGCTGAAATGTTTTCTTAATAAAATGCTATAAACCAGACAGTCTTATCATGAATACTGTACTATATATGATAAATATTTAGCAGTGTGTTATACACACATGGCAAAGCTATATTGTTATAAAGTAATACTAATGCCACTCCTGCATATCAAGCACTTTTATTAAGGACCTTATACAATTACATACCTAAGCCAAGATCATTAATCAGGCTTCGAACATAGAAACCTGGACCTGTGTCGACGGATACAGTAAAATAAGGAGGTTCAAAACTTTTTAACTTCAGCTCATAACAGTGCACCAGTCGAGGTTCAATAGTGAAGTTTACTCCTTTCCTGAAAAAAAGTTAAAAGAATATAAGAAATTCAAGATATAACTTTATGCAGTACAGGTACAACACTAATTTTCCAGCAACAGATGGTCTGGCACTTCTTTTAGTCTAGACAAAATTACAAGACTAGATATTTTTTACCAGACTAGTTTACTGGGCAGTCACAGATGGCATGTGTAGTCTGCATTCACTCATACTGTTTACACTGCAGTTGATGGTAGTGATTGCTTGCTTTTGTCCGAGTCTTAACATATTTTGATAACTAAACCCATGGTTAGAATTAATAGCTATACTAGTAACCTGTCAATAGCTACGGAGATTGACAAGTTAACCAAGTTGTCAGTGAAATAATCAAAGGGCTAGAGCAGCGTTCCTTTGCAAAAGAATAGCCAATGAACGGCAATGTACATATGGTACATTGGTTAATGTACATATCATATCATTCAAGCAAAGTTGTTTGAGCTTTGATGAAATATTTAAAAAGTTAACCAAGAAGAATGTGTGTCATAAAAGTAGGCCTTTATCTGAAAATCCTGAGGCTTCAACTTCAAGTACTCCAGATGTTCTCCCTGTAACATCACAAATACATAATGAAAGTCAACTATGAAATTGACAGTAATTTGGACAACCCTCAATTTTCAGACCTTTATGATTAGCTTTATAGTCCCAGTAAAATTCCAAAATTCACCACACTGGAAGTAGTAATACTGCAAAATTCTTTGTAAGTACAGTAATTAATAAACCTGTTCCAGTTACACTAATGTTTAAGTTTCTATCAGACCATGGTGGGTCAGAGGTGTACTGTTGAATTATTATTTTGCAACCTCTGTTGATCTGGCAAAACTGATATTCCAGCTAAATCTAGAAACCAAGATTACCAGAAAATTGGTGTTAAAATAATAATAATAATATAATAGCTATTTCTACAAGTACATGTACAAGGTAAACTGGCCTAGCTGACATCAATGACATACACGTACTACTACACAGAAAGCCCCTTGTTATGCAGAGCATTTCGGGCAAATTAGGTTAGTTTTGTCCAAGGATGTAACCCACACCAGTCAATTAACACCCAGGTACCCATTATTACTCATGGGTGAACATGGACAACCAGTATAAGGAAATATGCCCAATGTTTCTACCCTTGCCAGGAATCAAGTCCAGACCCTCACCATGTGAAGTGAGAGCTTTTGCCACTAAGCCATGGGCCACCATACCTATAGTTTAAAGAAAAAAATTAAGAGTACATACTGTACATGAAATCCTAGATACAGATTTATACCTAACTGATTACAGCATAAGGTTCACTTTAACTGTTGGTGCTTTGAGCCCAGGAGTTACTCTTCAGTGTGTGAACGTAGGCTACAATCGTATGGAAGTCTGATATCAAAAGGCTAACAACAGTGATGGTAAAATAACAAAAGTATGCAGTAAATAGAGTTTTTTAAAAGGGTTAATGTACATATCATTTAACTTCAGAAAGACAAGCTAATCATATAACAATTTCATAATTCTCAACATTTGAGTTTGAAAAGAGGCACAGTTTTACGTGCAGGAGCAAAGCAAACAAACGATGGCTATAACTTTTACAATTTTTCCCCTATAATTTTTACAGTCTCTTTTGTCCCCCTTCACTTTATATAAAGGAACTATACATGCTCTCTGCCAATCCCTAGGTACCTTCCTCTCTTCCATACATTTATTAAACAAAAATACCAACCACTCCAACACTATATCCCCCCTGCTTTTAACATTTCTGTCAGAATGATAACAAATTCCCACTACAAGCAGCACACTCCACCAATATTCAAAACTCTAAACCTACTCACTGTACAAAACATCCGTACTTATTATTGTACCCACTACATACATAGAACACTTAACTCGGATATAAACCCTCCCCTCAAACGTCTCCTTACCAACCTCAACAGAACACATGACCAAAACACAAGGCACAGATCATTCTTTGATTTTCCTCATGTCTGTCTCACACTATGCAAAAACTCCATGCACATAAAAGGCCCAAAAATCTGGAATTCATTACCTGTGAATATAAAAGAAACAGTCTGTTTGTAAATTCAAGTCTCTTCTTAAAAATCACTTACTCACCCACAACTAAATAAATACTGAATAATTGTATCTCATAAATGTTTAGCCTGTGACCCTATCAAACTTTTTTTTTTTTATTACATTACCTAACAGAATACTCCATTCTATTGAATGCACAGCACCTCAGCAAATGAAATACTCATTTGTGCTTAATTGTTATTTGTTTACTATAATTTTTACCACTCAATATATCATTGCTTAGTTAATCTTAAGTTAATTTTAAGCCTGCCCATAATGCTCTGCATACAAGGAGCTTTTGGCATGTTACACTTAACCACTGTATTTCTTTGCACATCTATGTATCAGGTCCAAATTAATAATAAATAAATAAATAAATAAATGATCTCGTGTTAAAAGCGGGGGGGTAGTGTTGGAGTGATTTATAAAACTGGGTTGCTTAAATGTGCGTGGATGTAGTGAGGATGACAAGAAACAGATGATTGCTGATGTTATGAATGAAAAGAAGTTGGATGTCCTGGCCCTAAGCGAAACAAAGCTGAAGGGGGTAGGAGAGTTTCAGTGGGGGGAAATAAATGGGATTAAATCTGGAGTATCTGAGAGAGTTAGAGCAAAGGAAGGGGTAGCAGTAATGTTAAATGATCAGTTATGGAAGGAGAAAAGAGAATATGAATGTGTAAATTCAAGAATTATGTGGATTAAAGTCAAGGTTGGATGCGAGAAGTGGGTCATAATAAGCGTGTATGCACCTGGAGAAGAGAGGAATGCAGAGGAGAGAGAGAGATTTTGGGAGATGTTAAGTGAATGTATAGGAGCCTTTGAACCAAGTGAGAGAGTAATTGTGGTAGGGGACTTGAATGCTAAAGTAGGAGAAACTTTTAGAGAGGGTGTGGTAGGTAAGTTTGGGGTGCCAGGTGTAAATGATAATGGGAGCCCTTTGATTGAACTTTGTATAGAAAGGGGTTTAGTTATAGGTAATACATATTTTAAGAAAAAGAGGATAAATAAGTATACACGATTTTGATGTAGGGCGAAATGACAGTAGTTTATTGGATTATGTATTGGTAGATAAAAGACTGTTGAGTAGACTTCAGGATGTACATGTTTATAGAGGGGCCACAGATATATCAGATCACTTTCTAGTTGTAGCTACACTGAGAGTAAAAGGTAGATGGGATACAAGGAGAATAGAAGCATCAGGGAAGAGAGAGGTGAAGGTTTATAAACTAAAAGAGGAGGCAGTTAGGGTAAGATATAAACAGCTATTGGAGGATAGATGGGCTAATGAGAGCATAGGCAATGGGGTCGAAGAGGTATGGGGTAGGTTTAAAAATGTAGTGTTAGAGTGTTCAGCAGAAGTTTGTGGTTACAGGAAAGTGGGTGCAGGAGGGAAGAGGAGCGATTGGTGGAATGATGATGTAAAGAGAGTAGTAAGGGAGAAAAAGTTAGCATATGAGAAGTTTTTACAAAGTAGAAGTGATGCAAGGAGGGAAGAGTATATGGAGAAAAAGAGAGAAGTTAAGAGAGTGGTGAAGCAATGTAAAAAGAGAGCAAATGAGAGAGTGGGTGAGATGTTATCAACAAATTTTGTTGAAAATAAGAAAAAGTTTTGGAGTGAGATTAACAAGTTAAGAAAGCCTAGAGAACAAATGGATTTGTCAGTTAAAAATAGGAGAGGAGAGTTATTAAATGGAGAGTTAGAGGTATTGGGAAGATGGAAGGAATATTTTGAGGAATTGTTAAATGTTGATGAAGATAGGGAAGCTGTGATTTCGTGTATAGGGCAAGGAGGAATAACATCTTGTAGGAGTGAGGAAGAGCCAGTTGTGAGTGTGGGGGAAGTTCGTGAGGCAGTAGGCAAAATGAAAGGGGGTAAGGCAGCCGGATTGATGGGATAAAGATAGAAATGTTAAAAGCAGGTGGGGATATAGTTTTGGAGTGGTTGGTGCAATTATTTAATAAATGTATGGAAAGGGTAAGGTACCTAGGGATTGGCAGAGAGCATGCATAGTTCCTTTGTATAAAGGCAAAGGGGATAAAAGAGAGTGCAAAAATTATAGGGGGATAAGTCTGTTGAGTGTACCTGGTAAAGTGTATGGTAGAGTTATAATTGAAAGAATTAAGAGTAAGACGGAGAATAGGATAGCAGATGAACAAGGAGGCTTTAGGAAAGGTAGGGGGTGTGTGGACCAGGTGTTTACAGTGAAACATATAAGTGAACAGTATTTAGATAAGGCTAAAGAGGTCTTTGTGGCATTTATGGATTTGGAAAAGGCATATGACAGGGTGGATAGGGGGCAATGTGGCAGATGTTGCAAGTGTATGGTGTAGGAGGTAGGTTACTGAAAGCAGTGAAGAGTTTTTACGAGGATAGTGAGGCTCAAGTTAGAGTATGTAGGAAAGAAGGAAATTTTTTCCCAGTAAAGGTAGGCCTTAGACAAGGATGTGTGATGTCACCGTGGTTGTTTAATATATTTATAGATGGGGTTGTAAGAGAAGTAAATGCGAGGGTCTTGGCAAGAGGCGTGGAGTTAAAAGACAAAGAATCACACACAAAGTGGGAGTTGTCACAGCTGCTCTTTGCTGATGACACTGTGCTCTTGGAGATTCTGAAGAGAAGTTGCAGAGATTGGTGGATGAATTTGGTAGGTGTGCAAAAGAAGAAAATTAAAGGTGAATACAGAAAGAGTAAGGTTATGAGGATAACAAAAAGATTAGGTGATGAAAGATTGAATATCAGATTGGAGGGAGAGAGTATGGAGGAGGTGAATGTATTCAGATATTTGGGAGTGGACGTGTCAGCGGATGGGTCTATGAAAGATGAGGTGAATCATAGAATTGATGAGGGAAAAAGAGTGAGTGGTGCACTTAGGAGTCTGTGGAGACAAAGAACTTTGTCCTTGGAGGCAAAGAGGGGAATGTATGAGAGTATAGTTTTTACCAACGCTCTTATATGGGTGTGAAGCGTGGGTGATGAATGTTGCAGCGAGGAGAAGGCTGGAGGCAGTGGAGATGTCATGTCTGAGGGCAATGTGTGGTGTGAATATAATGCAGAGAATTCGTAGTTTGGAAGTTAGGAGGAGGTGCGGGATTACCAAAACTGTTGTCCAGAGGGCTGAGGAAGGGTTGTTGAGGTGGTTCGGACATGTAGAGAGAATGGAGCGAAACAGAATGACTTCAAGAGTGTATCAGTCTGTAGTGGAAGGAAGGCGGGGTAGGGTCGGCCTAGGAAGGGTTGGAGGGAGGGGGTAAAGGAGGTTTTGTGTGCGAGGGGCTTGGACTTCCAGCAGGCATGCGTGAGCGTGTTTGATAGGAGTGAATGGAGACAAATGGTTTTTAATACTTGACGTGCTGTTGGAGTGTGAGCAAAGTAACATTTATGAAGGGATTCAGGGAAACCGGCAGGCCGGACTTGAGTCCTGGAGATGGGAAGTACAGTGCCTGCACTCTGAAGGAGGGGTGTTAATGTTGCAGTTTAAAAACTGTAGTGTAAAGCACCCTTCTGGCAAGACAGTGATGGAGTGAATGATGGTGAAAGTTTTTCTTTTTCGGGCCACCCTGCCTTGGTGGGAATCGGCCGGTGTGATAATAAAAAAAAAAAAAAAAAAAATGTATGGAAGAGGGGAAGATACCTAGAGATTGGCAGAGAGCATGTATAGTTCCTTTATATAAAGGGAAGGGAGACAAACAAGATTGTAAAAATTATAGGGGAATAAGTTTATCCATGGGGAAGTGGAATAAGAATCTTTCCTCCGTAAGCCATGCGTGTTGTAAAAGTCAACTAAAATGCTGGGAACAATGGGCTGGTAACCCCCTTTTCCTGTAATAATTACTAAAAAGAATAAGAAGAAGAAAATTGTCAAAGTGGGAAGTCTGAATGTGCGTGGATGTTGTGCAAATGATAAGAAAGAGATGATTGTGGATGTTATGAATGAGAAGAAGCTGGATGTCCTGGCTTTAAGTGAAACAAGGCTGAAGGGGGTGGGAGAGTTTCAGTGGAGAGGAATAAATGGGATCAGGCCAAGGGTTTCAAATAGAGCTAAAGAAGTAGCAAAAATGTTGAAAGATATGTTATGGCAGGAAAAGAGGGACTACAAATGTATTAATTCAAGGATTATGTAGAGTAAAATAAAGGTTGGATGTGAAAAATGGGTTATAGTAAGCATATATGCACCTGGAGAAGAGAGAAGTGTAGAGGAGAGAGAGAGATTTTGGGAAATGTTGAGTGAATGCATGGGGAGTTTTGAACCAAGTATGAGAGTAATGGTGGTTGGAGATTTCAATGCTAAAGTGGGCAAAAATGTTGTGGAGGGAGTAGTAGGTAAATTTGGGGTGCCAGGGGTAAATGAAAATGGGGAGCCTTTAATTGAACTATGTGTAGAAAGAGGTTTGGTAATAAGTAATACATGTACATATTTTATGAAGAAGAGGATAAATAAATATACAAGGTATGATATAGCATGTAATGAAAGTAGTTTGTTAGATTATGCATTGGTGGATAAAAGGCTGATGGGTAGGCTTCAGGATGTACACGTTTATAGAGGGGCAACTGATATATCGGATCATTATTTAGTTGTAGCTACGGTTAGAGTAAGAGGTAGATGGGAAAAGAGGAAAATGGCAACAACAAGCAAGAGGGAGGTGAAAGTGTAAAAACTAAGGGAGGAGGAAGTTCGGGTGAGATATAAGCAACTATTGGCAGAAAGGTGGGCTGGTGCAAGTATGAGTAGTGGGGGGTTGAAGAGGGTTGGCATAGTTTTAAAAATGCAGTATTAGAATGTGGGGCAGAAGTTTGTGGTTATAGAAGGGTGGGGGCAGGAGGAATGAGGAGTGATTGGTGGAATGATGAAGTAAAGGGTGTGATAAAAGAGAAAAAGTTAGCTTATGAGAGGTTTTTTTACAAACCAGAAGTGTTATAAGAAGAGTAGAGTACATGGAGAGTAAAAGAAAGGTGAAGAGAGTGGTGAGAGAATGCAAAAGGAGAGCAGATGATAGAGTGGGAGAGGCACTGTCAAGAAATTTTAATGAAAATAAGAAAGCCTAGAGAACGAATGAATTTGTCAGTTAAAAACAGAGTAGGGGAGTTAGTAGATGGGGAGATGGAGGTTTTGGGTAGATGGTGAGAATATTTTGAGGAACTTTTAAATGTCGACGAAGAAAGGGAAGCGGTAATTTCATGCACTGGCCAGGGAGGTATACCATCTTTTAGGAGTGAAGAAGAACAGGATGTGAGTGTGGGGGAGGTGCATGAGGCATTACATAGAATGAAATGGGGTAAAGCAGCTGGAACTGATGGGATCATGACAGAAATATTAAAAGCAGTGTTGGAGTGGTTGGTATTTTTGTTTAATAAATGTATTAAAGAGGGGAAGGTAACTAGGGATTGGCAGAGAGCATGTATAGTCCCTTTATATAAAGGGAAGGGGGACAAAAGAGATTGTAAAAATTATAGAGGAATAAGTTTACTGAGTCCTAGGTAGTAGGTTGGTAGACAGCAACCGCCCAGGGAGGTACTACCGTCCTGCCAAGTGAGTGTGAAATGAAAGCCTGTAATTGTTTTACATGATGGTAGGATTGCTGGTGTCTTTTGTCTGTCTCATAAATATGCAAGATTTCAGGTACGTCTTGCTACTTCTACTTACACTTAGGTCACACTACACATACATGTACAAACATATATATACACACCCCTCTGGGTTTTCTTCTATTTTCTTTCTAGTTCTTGTTCTTGTTTATTTCCTCTTATCTCCATGGGGAAGTGGAACAGAATTCTTCCTCCGTAAGCCATGCGTGTTGTAAGAGGCGACTAAAATGCCGGGAGCAAGGGGCTAGTAACCCCTTCTCCTGTATATATTACTAAATTTGAAAGGAGAAACTTTGGTTTTTTCTTTTGGGCCACCCCGCCTTGGTGGGATACGGCCGGTGTGTTGAAAGAAAGAAAGAAAGTTTACTGAGTATACCAGGAAAAGTGTACAGTAGGGTTATAATTGAAAGAATTAGAGGTAAGACAGAATGTAGGATTGCGGATGAGCAAGGAGGTTTCAGAGTGGGTAGGGGATGTGGAGATCAAGTGTTTACATTGATGCATATATGTGAACAGTATTTAGATAAAAGTAGGGAAGTTTTTATTGCATTTATGGATTTAGAAAAGGCATATGATAGAGTGGATAGGGGAACAATGTGGCAGATGTTGCAAGCATATGGAATAGGTGGTAAGTTACTAAATGCTGTAAAGAGTTTTTATGAGGATAGTGAGGCTCAGGTTAGGGTGTGTAGAAGAGAGGGAGACTACTTCCCAGTAAAAGTAGGTCTTAGACAGGGATGTGTAATGTCACCATGGTTGTTTAATATATTTATAGATGGGATTGTAAAAGAACTAAATGCTAGGGTATTCAGGAGAGGGGTGGGATTAAATTATGGGAAATCAAATACAAAATGGGAATTGACACGGTTGCTTTTTGCTGATGATACTGTGCTCATGGGAGATTCTAAAGAAAAATTGCAAAGGTTAGTGGATGAGTTTGGGAGTGTGTGTGTAAAGGTAGAAAGTTGAAAGTGAACATAGAAAAGAGTAAGGTGGTGAGGGTATCAAATGATTTAGATAAAGAAAAATTGGATATCAAATTGGGGAAGAGGAGTATGGAAGAAGTAAATGTTTTCAGATACTTGGGAGTTGACGTGTCGGGGGATGGATTTATGAAGGATGAGGTTAATCATAGAATTGATGAGGGAAAAAAGGTGAGTGGTGCGTTGAGGTATATGTGGAGACAAAAAAACGTTATCTATGGAGGCAAAGAAAGGAATGTATGAAAGTATAGTAGTACCAACACTCTTGTATGGGTGTGAAGCTTGGGTTGTGAATGCAGCAGCGAGGAGGTGGTTGGAGGCAGTGGAGATGTCCTGTCTAAGGGCAATGTGTGGTGTAAATATTATGCAGAAAATTCGGAGTGTGGAAATTAGGAGAAGGTGTGGAGTTAATAAAAGTATTAGTCAGAGGGCTGAAGAGGGGTTGTTGAGGTGGTTTGGTCATTTAGAGAGAATGGATCAAAGTAGAATGACATGGAGAGCATATAAATCTGTAGGGGAAGGAAGGCGGGGTAGGGGTCGTCCTCGAAAAGGTTGGAGGGAGGAGGTAAAGGAGGTTTTGTGGGCGAGGGGTTTGGACTTCCAGCAAGTGTGCGTGAGCGTGTTAGATAGGAGTGAGTGGAGATGAATGGTATTTGGGACCTGACGATCTGTTGAAGTGTGAGCAGGGTAATATTTAGTGAAGGGATTCAGGGAAATCGGTTATTTTTAAATAGCCGGATTTGAGTCCTGGAAATGGGAAGTACAATGCCTGCACTCTAAAGGGGGGATTTGGGATATTAGCAGTTTGGAGGGATATGTTGTGTATCTTTATACATATATGCTTCTAAGCTGTTGTGTTCTGAGCACCCCTGCAAAAACAGTGATTATGTGTGAGTGAGGTGAAAGTGTTGAATGATGATGAAAGCATTTTCTTTTTGGGGATTTTCTTTCTTTTTTGGGTCACCCTGCCTCGGTGGGAGACAGCCGACTTGTTAAAAAAAAAAAAAAAAGTTTACCGAGTCCTAGGTAGTAGGTTGGTAGACAGCAACCTCCCAGGGAGATACTACCATCCTGCCCGTGAGTGTAAAATGAAAGTCGGTAATTGTTTTACATGATGGTAGGATTGCTGGTGTCCTTTTTTCTGTCTCATAAACATGCAAGATTTCAGGTACGTCTTGCTACTTCTACTGTGTACAACACAAACAGTTGTTTATTTCCCAGAAATTTGGCATAGAAAACATGGTTGTAAGTCGAATGGTCGTATGTCGAGCAGGTCGTAAGTCGGATGGTAGGTGTACTCACATTGCTAAATCTGAATATCTTCTTCCTTTACACTTTAAGGCAGAGTATGGAGGTGGAATCTGCTTTATTCTCCCTTGGAACTGACGTAATCTTTCCTGCAGAGCATCTTCAGTAACATGCTCTGGTAAAGTGAAAATTAAGTAATACTATACATAAAAAGGTATCAGCAATGTGGGTTAGTATGATTTTAAATTTTGATACATTTCCCATATACTGTATAGATTTGATAATAAATAACTCAGAAAGGTGACAGTAATATAGCTTATTAGGGTTTTATATTTTGAAACTTTCTGAAAAACAAGATGTTGGTGTCCTAACAGAATGAACTGTTGTTTTGGTTATTCACTACTGTATACACATGCTAACTCAAAGACTAAGAAAATTATATTCATGGATCTATTTCTTTTCTCTGGTGGCTCCCTGTGCCAGTTCACTCCTCCTCTATGATAGAATAGTCCCTAACCACATTATATAAGATATGAAGTGCATCCATTTATAAGAACCCTGTATCCAAGCCTGAAATTTTTCTGAATACTGGTACTTCATAAAATACACATAAGCAAAGTACATGGAATACCAGTCATTAGCAACAAGGTCAAAAATGTATTCTCTCTCTTATAAGACATTTAAATATTTATTAATGTCCATATATAACCATTACAAATCACTTAAACATGTAAGGTAAATGCTCAATATAACACCTCGATTTAACAGTCTTTGGAAATATGAGACAAAATCTGCAGAGTCAATTGATTAATAAACAACAGACAAAGTACAATGGTTACAGAACTGTGTTATTGCTATGCCAACAAAAGAATTGCCTCTCTAGCCACCACAATGGTCATTTGGCCACCTGCTCCCTTATATTATTCTATTAACCGTCTAACTGTCCAAACGTAGATCTACGTTCGCTCGTGTAGTGCTCCGAACGTAGATCAATGTCTTTTTTACATTCTTTCTAAGGGAGAAAAATCAAGGTCGGAGCACTACACGTGCAAACACAGATCTACGTTTGGACAGTTTAAGGGTTAAACTGAAGGTGCACTGTATTGCTTCTACCTTCACTCAGCTTTAAATTTCAATATAAACAACACAGGTCCAGAGCCATGAGGAATTTTGCCTAGGTAATAAGAGAATATAATATATGGCATAGTGACCTACTAGATATAAGGAAACAAGTAGAGGTACTGACTTAAGTTAACTGGTTATAGTGACACCATTCTGATGACTTTCTCTGAATGACTTGGATCTATATTATTATTATGGGTGAGCACTAAACCCATAGGGATTATACAGTGCCTGTGGGGGAGGGGGGTTGGAAGGTATTCAGGCTCAATTCAGGGAACTGGAGCACAGATCCAATTCCCTAGATCAAAAGCCTCTCACCAGCATCAAGGAACCTCCCTTGAGGGGTCTGTGTGGAGAGTGTGCACAGTATTAAACAAATCCCGCCTCATGTAGTGCATGAGAAAGAAACAAGCCTCTGACTTTATATTTGGTTTAAAATAGTGAATTTGAGTTGTTTTCTAGGATGAATTTTATGATTTTATTATCTGTTTCTTGGCATCAATTGACAGAATGGAAGACAAAATACTGAAATAAAGTGGTACCTCGAGTTTCAAACACCTCCCAACTTGAACAGTTATGTAAATTATTTTTGTAAGTGCTTATGTAAGTGTATTTTTGGGGTCTGAAACGGACTAATCTAATTCACATTATTCCTTATGGGAACAAATTCGTTCAGTATCAGCACTCGAACAGCCTTCTGGAACGAATTAAGTTTGTAACTTGAGGTACCACTGTCAAGAAGATCTTGGTTGGTTTTAGGGCCAGAATTAGCTTAGAAATAAAGCTCAACGTAATGGAAATATTTGATTTTTTGACAATTTTCCTGAGGAAGGGTAAGGCCCCAAGTCTGTTTTATTAGATTTTACTAGACCTGCTTTAATCATTCCTGGTTATATTTTATTATCAAAGACTTAGTGTAAAACTTCAGTTTTTTGTGTGATGATGGCTTTAAAATATAGGAGAGGCCTGAGGTCATGAGTAATTAACAGAGGATAGAATGCTTTATTGCTGGAATCTATATAGTGTTTAATATATATTTGCTAAATTTACAGCTAAACCCTTAAGAACCCCAATTACAGTTGGAACAGTCTACAGGTTACCTCATACAACCTTAAAACCTAATAATTAATAAGCAGTTGCATAGACATCACCTAATACTTGCTGGTGACTTCAACATAAACCTCAACCAAGTAGAAGACCCTCAAGTAGCAGATTTCACTAACAACATGAACAATTGTTTGCTATTACCATCTATATCTAAGCCTACAAGAATTTCCAAGACAAGTGCTTCCTTAATTGACCATATCTGGACCAATATAGTAATAGCTCCTCTCAAAGCAGGGATAATCACAGATAACACTAATGACCACCACCCTACCTTTCTCATTACCAACTTATGTAAATTACCACATGACACTAGTAAGATCTCATTTTGTCTCTATGATGAGACATTATAAATAACTTCATTTCAGCATTAAGTGACAATAGCACAGAGTTTGCTGACATATGGGAAATTCATGAATGGCCATAAGATTTTCTACAAAAAACATAAAACTTCTAACCAAACCATACCACAGGTCGGGCTTGAACCCGAGGTTAGAAAGTCGTAAAACTTCAGATGACTCTCTAACCGTGGGTTCAAGAACCATCTGTGGTATGGTTTGCTTGCAATCGTGTCATTATAATTTCGTGGGTCATAAAACTTCTACAATAGACATTGTCCTATTAAAAAAAAACATAACAGCAAAGAGACTAAACAGTCCATGGTTATCAAATAGCATTCTTATGTCCATTGATAAAAAACATCAATATGGAAAACAGTTCAGATTATGTTTAATAACTAAGGAACAGACCAAGCAATATATGTCAGCACTTGCCAGTCTAATAAGGAAGTCTAAACAACTTTATTATGCGAGCAGGTTTAATGAAATAAAAGGGGATGTGAAACAGACCTGGAAAACTCTCTCCAAAATCCTCTGCTCTCAAAAACCTGCCAAAACCAGAGATATAGACTTAACTAAACCAAATAAACCTCATATCCAGTCTGCAAAAACTGCAAAACATACTAAATAATTTCTTCTCTGCTATAGGATCAAGACTAGCTAGCAAAATCTCAACTTCAAATGCTTCAAATTTACTATATCTGGCTCAAACTAAACCTACCACAGTCACATTTATAATAAATTCAACGTAATACAAGACAGGAAGCCTAATTAATTACTAACAAATAAAAAGAAGCTCATGTGTTGTTACCCACTATTGCAACTATGTTCAAGAAATCAGTAGAATCTGCAGCTTTCCCAACAATGCTTAAGGTAGCAAGGAGTTACTCTGATTCTCAAAGGAGGTGATCCAAAAGAGGCAAATAACTACAGGCTAATGTCCAACTTGCCTTTATTATCTAAAATTTTTGAAAAAATAATTCATAAGCTAATTTATCCCTTCCCAATATCTCACAATATACTCAACCCCTGCCAGTTTGGTTTTAAACCAAAAAAAGTACGTGATGCAATAATAAAAATGCACAACTTGTTTTATGCAGCACTTGAAAATAACGAATATCCTCTGGGCCTTTCATAGAGCTGAGGGAAGCTTTCGATGAGGACCACACCACTTGCATACCTAATCTTAGCTTACCAACGGACACCAGTATGTCTCCACCTTGTCAACGTAGGAGTGTCTCAGGGTAGTGTTCTTTGCCGTTTGCTGTATACATTAATGATCGCCCCAATGCATCTCATCTCCTTGAACCTGTTCTGTTTTCAGATGACAAGTTTTGTCATCTCCTACTCAAATCCAACTTCTCTCAGAGACAATATCAATGATGAGCTCCTAAAAATATCTACATGAATGACTACCATCAAACTCAATCATAACATTGACAAAATCTATATGATATGTATTTGGAAACAGAGCTAAATTCAAATTCAAATTCTCATTTCAGCATGATACAATGTTTATCCACAGATGGGTGATACTTAGGTGTATGTGCAAAAAAGCTCTTAGTATGCAGAGCATTTCGGGCAAACTTAAGCCAATCTTAAGACTAAAAAGGCAATAATTAGTTGATTTGTATATGGTCTCAAGTGGTTTTAACCCTAAACACTTTTATTGAGTTTAATTGTTTAAGAGATCACAGGTTGGCTTATGATTACAGTTAATGAGGATTCTTGCATATCAGCACTAGATTTAGGAATTACAATGAATAATTTATGATGTTTTAAATGTTTCAGGGATTACAGTTTGGCTTGTGATTACATGTAATGAGGTTTTTAACATAATATGTTTTGAGAACATTCAATCTATTTAATGGTTGTGAGGATCACAGATTATGAGAATAAGAATACAGTAGGGCCCCACTTATATGGCAGGTTAGGTTCCAGGCTACTGCCGGAAAGCAGACATCGCCGGAAAGGATGATGATAAAAGTATTTTCTTTTTGGGGATTTTCTTTTTGGGTCACCCTGCCTCAGTGGGAGACAGCCGACTTGTTGAAAAAAAAAAATTTAAGTTAGCAATAGAACAAGGCATTAAAAACAAAAACAAAAAAAAGTAAAATACACACACAGTACACTCATTACTTACCTCAAAATATTTGTAGTCTTAATATAGGGTGAGGAGTGAGTAGCATTTATTGTAAGAAGTTAGGTGTGGTAGGAATGGTAGCCAGCCAGGCCACTCCCACCCCACCCCACCCACATGTAATATACTTCGACATTCAAGGAGCCCTAGAGCGATAAAATGCATATAGTGTACACTCATTACTTACCTTAAAATATTTGTAGTCTTACGAATTTACTAACTTTCTTCACTAAGGTACATTTGAAAAGGTAGATCATGGTATAGAATATGATATTGTGTATATGGACTTAAGTAAGGCTTTTGATAGTTCCCCATCAGAGGCTATTAAGGAAACTTAAGGCACATAGAATAGGAGGAGAAATTTTTTCCTGGGTAGAGGCATGGCTGACAAATAGGCAGCAGAGAGCTTGCATAAATGGGGAGAAATCAGTGTGGGCCCCTTGTTGTTCACAATTTACATAAACAACATAG